CTGAATAAAGCTAAGTGCCGGGGACCTAAGTGGTCACCTTAATATTAAAAAAAAAAAAAAAAAAAAAAAAAAAAAAACTTATATTAATATTTATTTCTGCAAATAAGAATTGAAATATAAATTGCCAATAATAGCTTATATTTACTCAGATCAAAATATATTAAAATGCTTATTATTTTTTTTTAAAAACAAAATCCAGTTAACCAAGTCTGAAGATAATCAAGTACATTTTGCAAAGTTACGATTTTTCATATCTGAAAATAATCTCTCACTAGGTACTAATATTGCAAGAATTAATATATATTTTAGTACAAGTTGGAACAAAACTAAAAACTTATTTTTGTTTATATTCTACCATTTTAAAGGATCCTGATTAATATCTATTTGCCAAAGTCTTATATAACGTGAAACTTCATTCTCCTTAATTGAAAATGAATTGCCTAATTCTTTATATTTTAATACTTTAAAAAAATTATTATTATCATCTGTATAATTGTGAACAGGAGTAGTTGGTTGAGAATAAACATCTCTAGTTTAAAAATCTTCTTTTGTAAAATTATATTCAATTTGTAACAATTTAAGTAATTTATCTCTTTCCTTACTAGTATCATCCCATTTAAAATCTTTAAATTGAGAATTGAGTATTGTAGCAATTTGAACTAAATTAGATAGTACTGGCTACAACTTTTCAAGTGATAAAAAAATAGCTACCTGAACTTTTTGAAGAAGACCAACAGTATTAGCAGCTAGTAAATATTTAACATGGTTAAAATCATCTATATTTTTTTAAAAACTTTCTTTCCTAGCAACTTTTTTATTTGCTTTTCTTTTGCTTTTTTTTCTTCTTTTTTCTTTAGTCAATCGCATTCTTTATTAAAATTGGCAATAAGCATATTGCTAGTATTGTTGTGAACCACCAGATAGAATCTCATCTTCTTCACTTGTTGAACTATCAGATTCTTCTGTTTCTTTATTATCTGATTTGTTTTGTAACCCATATATCAAATTAAGATATGTATTATAAGTTTCTTCTTTTTCATAATCAGGCTCAAATAATTTTTTTAATAATTCTATATAAGAATAAACAAAACTTAATGTGCAATACTTGGCTCCACATATTCGATATGTTATTTTTTCAAATAGTGATAAAAGTTTTATTATATCTTGAAGAAATCTTAAAAAAAAAATAAAATAAAATAAAAATTAAAAGAAATTAGATAATTGCCAATAAAATTGATATAATAGAGCTTAAAATTAACTTATTTTGAGATTAAAAATCGAATCAGAAAATTAAATAAGCATGTCTAGTGATAAAAATTAAATTCTTTTAATAAATATCTACTAGTAAATAATTATACAATTAAGTATATACTTTTGAAAAAATAAAATTATTATCTAAAATTGGCTATAATCATTAATTCTAAACCTCTAATATATAAATTATTTTATTTAGAGACTTGTGCAAATCTATAAAATACACAGGTTAGAAATTTTAAATTTGACTGATCCATACAGGCTTCTATTTTAAATCTTACTGTTTTTCTTTAAAAGACAAACATAGCTGCTCTAATTTTTCACTTTCTTGTTGTAATTTTTAATTAGGTTTTTTCAACAGCATAGTAAAAATAGATTACATTGAATTATGCAGTTTTAAAATTCTTTTCTATATATAATATTTAGAGTTTTACCTTGTCTTAATATTAGTTAAGACATTGAGTAAATTATAATAACGGGTGTGGCGACCTAGTGAAGTGGTGG